ATGAGTCACAGTGGTGGTAACGGTGGTCATTCCAGCGGTCGTGCAGCGGCAGTCATGGTGGTGTAGTAACAGCGGTCGTGCAGTAGTAAGGGTGTCGCGGGATAACAGTGGTAGTATAGTAATAGTGTGGTGGTAGTAACAGCGATTGTGTAATAATCACAGCCGTGGTGTAGTAGGAACAGTGGTCACGGAGTGCTCGTCACAGGTGACGCAGTGCTAACAGCGGTGGCGTCACAGTCAGAGCGGCAGTGTAGGGGGTCGTGACCGTGGTAGTATGGTGATAGTAACAGTAGCGCAGTGGCAGTAATAGCAGCGGCGGTGTGACAGTCATAGTAACAGTGTAATGAGAGTAACACCGGTCATGAAGTGGTAGGAACAGTGGTCTCACTGGCACAGGGGTGGTGTAATTGAGTGACGGTATAGTGGCAGTGACAGTGGTGGTATAGTGATACTAATTGTGTTGTGGTAGTAATCGTGGTCGTGTAGTAACAGTAACAGTGTCGGTGTAATGGATGCGGCAGTAGGAAGAGTGGTCGTGTAGTGGTAGTAATAGTGGTCGTGTAATAGTCAGAGTGGTAGTATCACAGACATAATGGTAGTAACAGTGGTACTAGTAGTTAGCATTTACTGGCCACCTACCAGGGCAGCCAGGCGCTGGGCTAAGCGTGCCATGCGCGCTGGCTTATGAACTGTCCCCTGACACAGTGAGACAGGTAGTATGTGACCCCAGCTCACCGAAGGTGAAACTGAAGCAGAGAGGGCAAGTGCCTTGCTCAGGCCGGAGGGTGCCGGCATTCTGGCCCCAGGGGCTTTGCACAGGCCTTGTCCAGCAGAGAGGGAGAGGGGTATTCCAGACAGAGGGAAGGCATGGCAAAGGCCTGGAGTCTGGAGGGAACTTGGGGCTTTGTAGGAGCTTCCAGCATTTGGGGAGACTGGAGAGGCAAGGGTCCAGCTGGAGGAGTTTGGCCCGGAAGCCTCGAGGAGGGATGTGGACTTGGATGTGACAGGGGCATTGGGGAAGGTGGAGAGGCCATGGCTGGATCCACTCTTCAGACCTGGAAAGTCTGGGTCCCCAGCGAGAGGATGGACAGGGAGAGGTAGGGAGTTGGGCTGCCGGCTGTGTGTGTGGGGTGCAGTGTGGAGGCTGTGGGTCCACCACAGACTGTCACGTGGTTCACTTGCTGCTCAGAGCTGGCACTTGCTCCCTGTACCTGGCTTAGGGCTCTGCACACGCTTGGGGCGCAGGTTTCTAGGGTAAAACCTATGAAAGCCGGAACCTGTATAAGGCGGAAACCTGTCAGTGAAGGAAAACTCAAATATTTTCCACTAATAATAGTCTCACGTACTTTGGACATATCATCAGGAGGGACCAGTCCCTGGAGAAGGCCATCATGCTTGGTAAAGTAGAGGGTCAGCGAAAAAGAAGAAGACCCTCAGCGAGATGGACTGACACAGTGGCTGCAACAAGGAGCTCAAACATAGCAATGACTGTGGGGATGGCGCAGGGCCGGGCAGCGTTTGGTTCTGTTGTACATGGGGTCGCTATGAGTTGGAACCGACCTGACCTAATGATAGAGCGATGGAAAAGTGGTAAGACAGCACCCTCGAAGGCAGAAGCCTCGCGAGACTCGGACACGCAAGGCAGTCCCATCGAGTTTGAGCTCCCACGTCTTTCACTGTAGCTCCTACGAAGGCCCTGTGCAAGGCCCGGCAGTCTCACTCCTGTGCGTTAAATCCCAGCTCCTCTGCCTCCCAGCCGTGGCCCGAGCAAGCCCCTTCTCCTGCCTGAGCCTGCGTCCTCACGGGTGAAACTGGATGGTAACGCTGCTTGCCTTGTTGGGTTGGTGAGAGAGCGGACAAACGTGAGGTACAGCAGGCAGCCCGTGCGACCAGTGCCTGGCACGCGGAG